AGTAGTAGCAGTAGTGGTAGTAGTGGCAGCAGTAGTAGTCATCGTCGTCGAAGTAGAACTGGCAGCAGAAGTAGAAGCAGAAGCAGTCGTCGTGGTGGTGAATGTTCTGCAAGCGGGTGGTGGCACGAGAAACGGTAGAAGCGCAGCTACAACAATCCTAGGCGTGGTGGAGAACGGTTGCGGCCATCGTGATGGTACATGGACTCCCATAGGTGGCCCCCAACAGCGGCTCCTAAAAACGAACACAGACTGGTGAGTCTGAAGCCGAACCCGTCACAGCATGACAGATTCAAGCTTCGCAGTATATAGCCCTTTACATCCAACAGGCCAACAAGTGGCTGTTTTGGCGATCGCAGCGTTGACACAGACTTGGTCGACTGGCTGTGTGGGCTGCGGTTTGCGACCGCAGGGCCAGATGTACGCCCCCTTGGCAGGACTTCAGGGCGATTCCAACAAGACACTCAGCGACCCTGAGGGGTGACCACTGCTGTAAAGACAGCGGCAGCCACCAGGGCTGACTTGAAAACGGGCAGGCTACCAGGTTTTGCAGTTACATTCAATCTTCCTTTTGCAGAAGCGTTTTCCAGGACCTCTGCATTTTCTCGTTCGGGCCTCGCAAATGGGGTGAACCCCACATAAGCCTCCCTGGATCTTTCTAGATCTCTGGCCGTCACAACCTCCCAAAGTGGAAGGAAGGAGCCACACGAATAGGTAGCAGCCTTCCGAGGAACCCCAGCACAGCTTTGAAATAGATACTCTGTTCAGGAAGGCTTCTTCGACGACCCCAGATTTCCCGGTTTCAGACCCTCCTCATCTTTTCATCTCATCTTCCTTTATGGGGGGTAGCCCACAAGAGTACGGTCGTTCCTCTCTGCTAACTCGGAACAAGCACGAACCCATTGCCCGTGTGAAGCTGGAAGGTTTTATCTGAAACTTCCGTCTGAATCGAAAATCCCTCTGGAGGAAGCGGCTGGCATTTCCTGTTGATGCTACGTATGAACCAAATGCGAACCGGCAATGACAACGTCAGGGACACCCCAGTGCCCCCCTTTCAGCGCCCCAAGCCTGATCAGCCAAGTTTTGCCAATGTCAGGGACCTCCAGCATCTTGTTGCCATTCCTTGGCTCGGCTATTTTTAGCGTGCCAATGATCTCAGAAGCAGGGCTACACCTGTTATTGCCTGTGGTCTTCCGAGACTCTGGCCCCAGAGCCTCTCAAGCCTGATCGGCATGTGAATCAAAACTTGTGGGGCTGATCATCTTCGATGGACTCACTGCGACATGTGGCTGTGCCGCAGACTGGAATGATTCCGATTGGCCATATGCTTCTGTGATGTCACATCTTCAACATGGTGGCTCGTCACCGGGAACCAAGACCAACCCAAAGAGTACTTTGGCGCGCCTCTATGAACCGTTCTATTTCGCTTGCCTAGCTCACCTGTGGAGCTGTACACACATTGGACTCGAAGGCACGTTCCAGCCAGGTTCAAGCCGAGTGCGCCTAGATTTCGAATCTGTTCATGAGACTTGTATCGAAGGCTCCTCATCCTGCTGCTAGTAACACCACAAACCCGCCGAGGACGAGAATCAGCAACACGTTGCGGGATCGATATTGCCGTACTTACTTTTCCTGCTACATGTCGGCAGACAAGGTTCGAGGGCGAGTCGGGCGGCGACATGGAGAGGACCTGCGGCATGCCGACGTGTCATCCTTATACTTATATTATAATATTGTAGCAGCCTTACACAAGACGGCTTTGAGGCACCGCTCCAGTGGTGGTCTGTGCATGCACCTTTGCCCTCGATGGGCAGCTTGATTTGTGAGATTTTGTCCGATGCTAGCAGAAAGTCCACCACTACATGTTGCTATCGGGAGGTTCACCTATGGGTGCTGAAAGCGCCTGCGTGATTTGTACATGGCTCTATCGGGCTCTACCTTTCTTGCTAGAGTTGACTACAGTATCTGCCACGAAGTCCAACGCCTCATCCTCGTCTGGAAAGGCAAACTTCATCTGCTGCCGGGAGTCCTCTCCACGCTTTGATTTCTTGAAGCGACATACTTGCAGCCCGAAGCCTGAATGCTATATCTGCCACGTTGACATGCAACCTGTATGTTGCTCGCCCCAGGGCTGCAATGTATCCCAGACTACGAGGGCAGGAAGCCCTAAATGGCGAGCTCCTCCAGCTGAAAGGCCTGGCAGAAAGGTGGCATCGGTGCCAATGTAGCTGCACACCGCCCTTACTTGGATGTCAACAGCTTGCAGAAGCGAACTACTACGTCGACGGCATTGCAACCCCCCCTGCTGTCCCAGCAGTTTACTCCAGCATTCATTCATGCAACAAGTTGGCCTGCTTCATGTTTGCCAAAGTCGCTGACTGTCGCCTCTGGCGGACCTATGCTCGTTGAAAGGTCAGTAGGTGTCTTGTAAGTGTCGCAAAACCCACTGCTGGCGTCTTTTTCCCCAGCTCAAACTACCCAGTCTGAACCTCCAAGCAACGAGAAATGCTCTCTGTCCCTTGAGCACAGAAGTTCAGGTCTCATTACCAACCACTCCGAAGACGATGAGAGGCCTTTGACGTCGCTGTGCAATGAGAGCGGGCCAGAGTTGCTAAATGCCGCTCTTGTCTTGAACCCTGCTTTTCCAATGATTTGAGACGTCTCCGGCCCTGCTAAGCTTCTGGCCTGCTGCGCCTCGCGAGAAAGTGGCCGGGCGGAGGTTCTTTTGACCTTCCCGCTTCTTCCACTTATCTTACCTCTTCAAACACGTGCGAACCTGTACACCAACAGCCAATAGCCATAAGACAACTTGTGGGTCAGGGGCCTGCTTTTTGGGTAGCAGGCTTCAGGGTCGAGGGCTTCGACGGCAACACAAACAGTCGATGCAAGCGAAGAAGGACCGGAACGAACAAACACTTAGGAAGTTGAACTTGGGCCCTTGGCAGGGAGGCTGCTTCTGAAAACGGCAGGGTTCTAGGCAGCGTACAGTACCATGAGCACCAAAGCAGATCCGAAAATGCTTCAGAGGCATGAAACATCATGACGCGACAGCACCGCAAAGACCGGTCAGACGGCACTTCCACTTTCGTGCTTGCAAAGCATGACACCCAGGTGAAGCAAAACAAAAAACCCAGCAATCCAAGATCCTTCCTGAGATCAGAGCCATCGTAACTACTGGCATACCGCAATACGTAATGCCTAAGAACAAATGCCTGTTGAATCGTGTCCCCTGACTGCCTCTTCCTCCAGCAGTTTAGCGGCTTAACCGATGCGTCAGCACTGTCTCAAGAAGATTTTGGTCAGGATCCATGACAAATCACAAGTATTGCCAAATTCTCGAAGCGTTCATGTTACTTGATTTTGAATGGGAGGAATCACTTCGAGCACCAATGTTTGATGATTCCCGGCCACTTTGTCGGTGTCTTGCGGCTTGCGCTTACGAATTTCGAGCTCAAGGTTCCTCATCTCATGCCGGAGCTCGTGAGTTCAAGCCCTGCCTTGCTTTCACGCTCCGTCGGACTCCCTGCCGGCCCAGCAGCTTGATCAGTTTGTCAAAAAAGGCACGAAGAGGCCATCCTCCCTGGCCTGTTGATGCCCCGGGGCTCTTTGGAGACGTGGGTCGCCCACCTCGAGATGTGGATGCAGACAACTTCAGGAAGCTGACATCGGTTCGGGAGACGGCATACCTGACCTAAGCCAAAGACCATAAACACCGCGCTTGGTGTGAAGCATGTTGTCGGCTGTAGCCTTCCAGAAGGTGGCAAACAAACGTCGGAGTCGATCCTTGCTTATGCTGTTAAATGGCTACTTTGCATGCAGCTCTTGTGGCCATAGAGTCATGCTCATTGCTAAAGCGCCTCCTCCTGCGTGCATACTGCGCAGTCTTTTTGGCAAAAGCTTCAACTAGTCTTTGGTCAAGGTCGCTCACGGATCAGCTAGTGGCACCGGCAGGGCAGTTCTCCAATTTGGGCCCTTTCAGCAAACTCAATGGTTAAGATGTTAAAGATAGCATGTTGATACTCGAGAAGCGAACTGATGTGCGGGCCATAATTCGGTACTGCCCCTAACAGAACACATCACGCGCTGGAAGACTAGTCCCTCTGCTTCCGCATCGTGCCAAACTCAAGTAATTGCTCTTACGTTGCCCAGTGGACGGCCTCGTGAGACAAGAGAAATCCTCACGGTTCGAATTGCCAAAATCGGAAAGAGATCTCTGGAGCAGGGACTTACATATGACACCCCTACCGGGCTGATCTCTCGAGCAGGCATGTTGTCATGGTCGGCAGGAGGTTGCCAGAGATGCAGGTCCGCGTAGACGTGGTGACTGGTGGGAGATGAGTATGCGTGCATGAGCATCGGCTGCGAATGCTTTCAGTATGTATGGAGATATGCAACATATGCACACATATGCGTCCTCGCACACAAGTAGACCCACTGTACAAGCGTATGCCTGCGCATACACACGCACACACGTACGTACAGTCATAGCCATTACATCAATCTGCTCATGGACTTGCGTATGCATGCATGTGTCTTGTGCTGTATGTATGTTTGCATGGGTGTAGATGTGTAGACCTCCAGGAAGACATACATCCAGTGGCATGGATACAATGTACATACATGTCTCCCTCTCTATACGCTCACACACCACACACACACACACACACGTGTATCGGTCAACCTTGTTTGCTGTCAGTGACAACATTACGCAGTTGTCTGCTTTGACAAACAGATGCGTGTCGAATGCGAACATCTCTGAGATTTGGACCTGACATGTCGAGCTATGCACATGAAATTCACACGCAGCGCTGCGTAGCCCTGTCACCGGAGACAACTAACTTCGTGCTTTTTGCGGAATGCTGTTAAGTTAGCACCTTAGCACCCATATTTCCTAAACAAATTCGCCAGAACAAAAGCAGAAGGGACGAGAAGTGGTGATCGACTGAACTCCAAATGCCCACTGCATGGACCAGTCGCCAAAATTTTTGGCGATTGCCATTGGGGGTTGCTCCTGCATCGTCTCTCCACTGTGCCGGTAGGCAGGCTGCATTACGGCTTGGCTTGTCAACCTGCCATTGCGAATGCTCTTGCTGCTCTTCTTGCTCCTGTTGCTTGTGATGCTGCTATTGAGATGCTACTCGCACTTCCTATGGTCTTCCCGCAGAAAAATTTAAATGACAATCACAAGAATACCACCGTGTGCAATTGTAAGTAAGCTATAGCATTCACCGTCATCAACTGTTATCACCACCACAACAACTACCTCCACCATCATCGTAGTCTTCATCACAACCATTATCGACCTCATCACAGCGACTGTAATCATCATACAAATAATCATCAGCAGCGTCACAGTCGTCAACAGCATCTGCCTCATCGCAGTCATCACACCGCCATCAACATTACGCTCATCTCCCCTTTTGCACCTCGTATCACCTCGTCCTCGTGTTGCCCGGCAAATCAAACGAGCGAGCTGATCCATGAAAAGCATCATCTGTGTGAAGAAGCGTGGAAGGAGACGTCGACCAACTCCCAATAGTGGGGCTTAGCATGTACGGTGGTTGTCGGCGCAAGTTCCTGGGCCCTGGCTCTTGCTGAATTACTATCGAGCTGCTTGCTTAATGTCGTTGTAACGTACTTCAAGCAAATGCCACCAAAACTATAATTGTTGTTGCTGGTTGGGCTGCAAAACAATTTCGAACATCCTTGCCCGAGGACTTCCACGGGTAAAGTACTGCATCTGAGCACAAAAATGAATTACTGGATTGCTGCTAAATTGCTGTTACTTGTAGCCTTGACAGAACCTTTCCTATATCGGGTCTTCTTGTGCCTGCGTTCCTTGTTCAAGGCACTGAAGTGAACCGCAGCAATCCAGCTTCCGCAGGGTCAGGCAGAGCTCCTGCATCATGTGATGAGGGTTGAGGGTTTCGGTTTTTTTTTATCACCTCTTTTCCTTCTGCCTAAGAGGTGTCCGGGTTTCGGGTTTAGGGTTGGGCCTGCTGGGTCCCGTTGTACGTGAAGGGGGCGGTTTCCATACACCGGCTGGTTTACCAACATTTCCAAGGAATGTCTGGAGTGACGAGGGCGTTCATTCATGTCGTCGTTTTTGCATGCTCAGACCCCCATGAATCCCTAGCGGAAGTCGCCTCAACTGCAGATGCAGGAATGACAACAAGCAACCCGAGATTTAGACTCTTCCCCCGAAGCCCACTTTCCGATGCCCCGGACACCTTGCACACATTCCCAAACTCCGAGTTCCCTTCCCAAAGCCACGCCTAAGCGCTGGCCATTGGAAAGCAGGTGGCAAAGTCGGACTTCGGGTGCTTCGATTCCGCGTGGGCCTCCGTTTCCGCATGTACGTAGCTATGTATGTAACTCGCAGCGGGCGCCAGCAACTGCTGCTGCTGCTGCTGATGTCGCTTCTGTATGTTAGCTTGCATTCCGAGTGCCCTAGTCTTCCTTGCATAAGCCGGAAGCATGGTACAACAGAGCACAACACCAGACACGAGACAAAGGTTCAGATGCGGTGAAAGAACATCAACGTAACACGTTGCAGGTGCAGAAATGAAGAATGACTTGTGTGCCCCATCTCAAGGAACACAACTATGCTGTGCAGATCAGCCCCATACTTTCTTGGTTTTGCCGTGTTACTAGCAACCGTAATACAAGGTAAGTACTATGTGAAAATGACATCAGGCGAAGCTGCGCTAAGCACCGTTTATACTGCAACGTGATGCATGACGATCATAAGCATTTTCTTTTTCTCGGTCTACACAGAATCGTTCGGTCTAACCGGTCTACGAATATGTTGAGCTATAGCCCCTTGCCTGTTTGCTTCCGCTTCCTCACAGCTTCTTCCGGGTTGAATTCCGCAAATGTGGTTCTACTCTAGCGACATTGAACCTGCAAGTCAAATACTTCAAGCATGCGTCTCTGTGATGGAGACAGATGAAGTCTGCCTGTTGTGGTTCGCGCTTGCTGATTTAACGAAAGGCAATGCGATGACGGCTTTGCCGCTGTTGACGAAGTGCACTGCTGTTGGCAACACGAAGCCTTTTGCCTGCTGTCGCTGCTGATAGGAGCCTTTGTTTAGACTCGTGCATGGCCGGGTGAAGGAGACACGCTGAAAGAGGGGACAGGTGCATGAGACGTCTGATGCCACAGGATGTTGTGTTGTGAGGAGGCCATCACAAGGCTTAGAAGCACAGTTGTTCGAGCAATTGCCAAACATCTGAAAGCCTTAACTTCCCAGACCCACATCTCCACACCCTGAACCTGTAAGCTCTAAACCCTCCAGTCGCAATATCCTAAGAACCAAACCGCCCTAACCCAAGCCCTGAGCCCTAAACCCCTAACCGTAAACAATCATAAAGTCGAAAAAACAAGGCCTGTGCAGCCTTGACCTGGGTGTTGGGAAAGCACTGCATGCATACGGAGCCTAGGTCGGGGAGACGCAATGCTTCAAGGGTAATTTCCGTGGTGGTTCTACACGAAGCCTGGAAAGGTACTGTTGGCGCATGATAGGTCTTTGTAGGGGGTTCTATGTTTTGCTTTATTGGCCGTGGGCTTTAGAGCTTCGGGCTTCAGCATCTACAGTATGCCTTGAATGCTGTTGGGTCAGCATTGTAAGGTTAGCACCAACTGCAAAAGGGCCCCACAAGCTGTAAGCATTACTGGCCTGGGCTGTGAGGGAGCAGGTATGGAGGAAGAACAACAAGGTCGGAGAGGTTCCGTGTCTGCTCCATGTGGAGCTGTTGTAAACCAGCAAGTATGTCCGTGATTATAGAGCCAGATATGCCGTGTTACGTAGGATACCAAGAAACACAAGCACCATCGTGCAGCTTCTGATAGCCTAGAAGTACCTAGAGATCACACCCTTAGCAGTCACAGCTTTATCCTTCGCAGTATCATTGGTGCTGATCCTGTTCGTACGGTCGCTGCTGCCCTCATCGATCGAGGGCGAGCGCAGAAAAAATGGCACACAAAAGCATCAGGCCAATGGGCCACCAAAGGGCCACCGAAGGGCAATAGACTGGGCAATAAATGGGCAGCTCTCTAAATTAGGGTCCCTGTTTAGGTCCCCAATCTAGTACGGCACCATTATAAAAAGGATCTAATTTAGACAACTACCCAGATGGCAATAGTACTGGGCATGGCTCTGGTCCTAGTACTCCTCCAAGCAGCACTTGAGATCCATGGCCGCCGATCGGGACTTGATCCTGAGGTTTCAGAGCTTCGGTGCGATGCCCGTCATCATTTCGTGGGTTAAGCGGATGTGCGCAGGAGTCCTCCGCTTTAGTCTTATAGTACAGTGCTGAAGATATGATCCCCGAGCCGTTTGTCGCCTGTCGCGAAACTCTGACCTCCGACATCGGACTCTCTGCCGCAATACCAAAAGCGCCGTGTGTCGACGATGGCGATGGCGATGGCGATGTTGATTAGGACACTCATGATGCTAGGGCTGCGGGCGATGACGAAGTGCGATGCTGGGGCTGCTGATGATGATGACGATGTGAATCATGGGATGGCCCGGCGGCTTGCAGTTCATAACGTCAATCCACGCACTTCCGGACGTCTCCGCCTTGCCCCACAGGCGATGCGATTCGATCTGGGATGCCGACCCATCCTTGCCGCCGCCACCGCCCTGGTCGCGGCTCCGGGGACTTTCGGCTCACGTTGCCGTAGACTTATTCCTTCTTTTCTTTCTGTCAAGTGACCCGCGCATGCCCCTACACCCGCTCACTGCTAATGAAGGCGAGTACTCCGCAAGTCTGCATGCTTTGCAGGACGCCTCAACTCTCCCTCTCTACTTCGCTTCTTCTTCTTCTTCCACAGGGCAGGGGGGATTCTGGAGATCCCCGGCCCCATGTGTTATGGGGCTTTGAGGAGATTGTGATAACATGTTCACAGGTTCATATCCTTTTCCGAATAGTTACTTTATCCAATTCTTTTCCCCGCTTGGATGGTTCCCCCGTGATTATTTCGGACACCGCTAATTACGTTGCTCATGTCCCGAATGTGTCCCGCGACGAACTCAAGACTGGAAGCAGAGACAAAACCTGACCGGGACATGCTGCGCTCTCTCTGTCTCTCTCTCTCTCGGTCTGTCTCTCGTTCTTACAGAGTGTATCAAGGCCCCCGGGTGCAAAGGCTCGCCCACTTGCACGGGTCGAGAGAAATCAAAAGGGCAAACACAACTTTTTCGATTCGGCGTCCCCTCCACTCTCTATATCTGCTCTACAGACACCAGTTAGGACGGCCCTCCAAGTATGCTGGAGCCCTGAGGCCCGAAGCTGTCCGTGGCCTTCTCTGCGTCCTTCTCCGCCTGCTTGCGTGCGCGAGCTGTTGCGGACTTCTGGCCGTTGCCGCCGCCCATATTTGCAAACCTCGCCAAGGACTGCGTCACCGCGTTTACATGAAGCTTCGCATTCAATCTGGCTGAAAGCTTTGTCTCACGGTGTATGAAGCAACTGTCACGAAAAGGTTCTGCGTCGATCAATACTTCTGCTGCCGCAAAGGCTTCTTGCATGAACCTTCCGCGGCTCAACCGGAAAGCCGACGACATCAACCACACCGACAATACATGACAACAAGCAGCAGTAGAGGCAGCAGCAGCACCACTACCCACACCAAGACCAACACCAACACCCACACCAACAC